CTGCAAAGTCCCAGGAGATGCGAGGAGAATGGCGCTGGGCTCACGGGACTGCCTCTCCCGAGATGCTCCCAGGCCGCGTCCCCATGCGCCCACCCCAGCACAGGGTGGCACCAGCCTCTCCTGGGATGCCCCCACTGCGTGAGGTGGGCTCCCAGCCCATATGAGCTTCTGCAGAACATCTTCCCCCTGGGAGAAGATGGGACTCAAGCCCCAAACATGCTCCCTCACTGGGCTTCTGGGGCAGGGGGGCCAGAAGGAGCTGGGGCAGAGGGGAGTGGAGAGGGGCTCTGTGCCATGCCGCCCCATGACTGTCCCCATGCCTGCAGCTGGCCCCACATGGAGCAAGTCGCAGGCCCCTAGGCTGGGGACAAGTGGGAGCTTCCCTTTGCTCCAGCACAGCACTGGCTCCATGATGGTGATGCCCTGCTGTATGTCAGATCATGTCCTCTGGGTGAGCTGTCTGAGCTGTCCAGGAGAATCAGTCCGTCCCAAAGTGCTCCCAGACTGTGTGGAAAATTCCCCCCAGGTCTGCATGCAGCAAAGGGGCAAGCCTTTCCAAAGGGAGCCTGCAGCCTGGGAGAGGGAAGGGAGAGTCTGTGAGAGAAGCCCAGATACAGGGAGGAGGGCTGCAGCTGTGCCTTCCCCTGGGTCCACTCCTGCAAGGGTAATCACCACCAGGCCTGAGGGCAGATTGCTCCCAAAATCCTGCCCTGTGCTTGCACTTGCCATTTGGAAACTGCCCCCGTGGCAGCTGGCCTGACAGCAGGCACAGCCTGCGCAGCCGTGGGGCAGCGGGGCCTGGGCACAGCTGCTGCCTTTGGAGATGCTCCTGTGGTGCCAGGGGCCTGGCTGTGCCGAGCCTGCCCTGCCTTTAGCACTGCCAGGGCTGCCTCGACGTCTCCTACCACATCATGTGCCACTACTGTATGACCTGTCCAGAACTGGGTTTTCATACCTATAAACAAGAGAAAAAAAGAGTTTCTTTCTTTGCTTAGTATCTTCAGCTCATATATTAAAACACCCCCTCAGAAATGCATATTTCAGTGTCGGGATTTCACCGGGTTTACCCTAAATGCCTCACCATAAACGGAAAAGTCATAAAGCTCATGGAGCTGCAGGAAGGATACGATATGGGATGTTATAACTGGGATGCCAGGGTCTCTGGCTGAGAGCTCTCAGGCTGCTGGGAACCAGTTCTTGCTGGATGAGGTGTTTGTCTTCTGTGCCTTGGGTTCGTCTCCCCTTCAAAAGGATGTGCTCTGACTGGGGGCTGCTTCTTTTTAACCAAGATGCCTTGGTCATCCTACAAGCTCTTCTGCTTGATGTATAGTCAGTACAATCTTCTTTCTGAAGAATGCAGTAGCTTTTTGCTTTGGAATTATGGGGAGAAAACGGGATCAGAATTCGTTGCAATTAGCTGAGTTTTTGTTGGGAGCAGGTATTTTTCTTTGGACCACACAAGGTGAAATTGCTATTTGAGGGAGGATGGATGCTGGACTGCACATATAAATCCCAGATAAGAAAGCACATGACACTTGCAGAGGGAGAGAAAAAGCCGTCTTCATGGGCAAGGAAAATCTGCTGAGAGTCTGCCCAATGCCTCTGACTTTGGTATTACAAAATAGGACCATGCTGAGAGTTCCCTCACGTGCTTCCAGGCAGTGCAGATACACAAATGTAGCTTCAGGGAGCACATCCACCAATTTTTCCCAGAGGAGCTGTGCAAGACAGGAGAGCTGTGAGAGATCAGGGCTTTATTTGCCCTCATTATCAGTTATGCCATCCTGGGTTCGGCTGAACTGAAACCCAGTTCAGCACAGGGCGGTGGGGGACAGTGCCCATGAGGGAGGTGGGAGCCCTCCAGGACCACAGGAATGATGACCCCTGGCAGGGTGGAGGAGGACAAAGCAGTCGGGGGTGCTGGTGGGAGTTCGTCACACGTGAGTGACTTGGGCTGAGTGTGGCTGCTCTGCCGAGGTGGGGCAGGAGGCCCCCGGAGCCTTTCCACTCACAGGGTCCCTGCTCCACCCTGGGGTGAGAGGGTGGTCGAGATGCAAAGATCCCTGCTTTTAACCAAAGCACAGCAGATCACTCAATGGCTTTCAAATCTCCGTCTCTCTATTACAATTCTCACCCTAATAACAAAGCTGAAAAGGTTCCATCCACATCACGTGGGAGAACATCACAATGGCTGTACGTTCAGCAGAATGGCTTTTTGCACGCCGTCTTGGGGCCAGCAGTATCAGGCTATAGCATCCATTCTTACACACTTCCAGCAGCACAGAGCTCAGAGGCATTCCCATTTGTGATGAGACATTCACCATGAGAGTGGTGAAATCCCTGCTGCAAAATTAGCATTTGAGAGGTGTTGCTTTAAAGTATGAGCAGTGAGGACAGCTTATGCATGTAGAGACTGCAGTGGTATGCAAAGTACCGCCAAGCATTAGAAGAACGGAAAGCGCCTGAGAAATGGAACTGCGCATTTTGCACGTGACCGGTTTTATCAAGGGCTAATGCAAATCTATTTGCCATTCCTTTTCTTGACACTTGAGCAAAAAAGTTCAGAGAAAACCAGAAAAGGCAAACCCAGTTCTTTTCTGAATTATGGATGTGCAAAGTCATGGGAGACACTGTAGCTGTACTGGTACAGCTTTGAACAGGGTTTGGCCTGATAAGTATGAAAACGTCTGTCAAGTTAGGTCATTTAAAGCTGTGTCTTTCTTGCACATTAGTTGTCATGTAAATATTTGCTGAAAAAAGCCTGGATCTGTGGCCAAGCATGAACCTGAGCTTTAGCATAGTCCTGAGCTCCCCACCCCAAATTGCCCAGTTGTGAAAAAAGAGATGCTTTCCTACAGGGTACAAAGGGAAAAAGGGAGGGTCAAGGCAGTGCCCGGTTCCAGGGTAAGACAGAATCTGAGCATTTTCCTTCCCTTGAGCCTGCAAATCCTTGCAGGCTTCAGTAGCATGCTACTCAGATTTAATAACGTGATCATCTTGTCCAACGATGAACAGTAACTGTGCCTCAGCTTTCTCTAGTGGGATTGGGCTTTGGTTGCCAGGGGCTTGAAAGGGGTCAGTACCAACGCCAGAACAGTCCAGAATATTGGAAGCTGTCCTCACTGCTCATACTTTAAAGCAACACCTCTCAAATGCTAATTTTGCAGCAGGGATTTCACCACTCTCATGGTGAATGTCTCATCACAAATGGGAATGCCTCTGAGCTCTGTGCTGCTGGAAGTGTGTAAGAATGGATGCTATAGCCGGGATGCCGGGGTGTCTCTGGTTAACCCTCGGGAAGGGTTGTTTGCCCTCTGTGCCTTCTTTCCATCTTCCCTTCAGAAGGAAGTGCTCTGGCTCGTGGATACTTCTGGCCCCAAGACGGCGTGCAAAAAGCCATTCTGCTGAACGTACAGCCATTGTGATGTTCTCCCACGTGATGTGGATGGAACCTTTTCAGCTTTGTTATTAGGGTGAGAATTGTAATAGAGAGACGGAGATTTGAAAGCCATTGAGTGATCTGCTGTGCTTTGGTTAAAAGCAGGGATCTTTGCATCTCGACCACCCTCTCACCCCAGGGTGGAACTTGCAGGAGCTTAGGAGCAAGGGCTGCCCAGGTGGGGAGAGGAGACCAGAGAATACTGACACGTAGCCCCATTACCTTCACTCTTCCACTGCTCTTGGGGCACCAAATGTGGAGAAGAAGTGTTGCTTTAGCCTTCAGGGCCCTTTCCCTTAGCATCTGCTCCAGCATATGGTCAACCTGGTGATCAAATCCAGCACTGCAAGCCAAGGACTGTTGTTCTCAACAACAGGAAAAGTTGCCACACATTGAGGGCTCGACACCAGGTAACATAGCCAAAGCACCTCACCTGCTTAGGAGAGACAGGGCAATCTCCACGGGGAACGAAAGACTGCTGAAACTGCCCAATACCTCTGACCACTTAGTACTTCAAAATAGGACAATGCTGAGGATTCCCTTAGTTGTTTCCACTTGTTTCACACCACTAAGTCAGACATGGGGAGCTCTGAGAGGCACCTGTACCTGCATCTCCCAGGAGGAGTCAGGGAGCCTGAGGAGAAGCTCTCGCTTTGCAGTTCCCTTTGGAGCAAAAGATCCAGCTCTGGGTAAGACAGATTGAATGTCCTTCTTTTTAAACCCTTGCACAATCCATTACTGGAAGAGCCAGGCGTTTCCTCACCTGCTTAAAGAGTCTGTGAAAGGACCCCTCCCTCCCTCATCCCTCCTGCACCCCTGACCACCCTGGCCATCCTTCCCGATTCATCTGGATGGGCAGGTGCCAGGGCTGGGCAGAGCCTGGTGGAGACATAACCCGCTTGCCCAGGCCTTGGGGTGACCAACACGGAGGAAGAGGTGGCAAGAAGACATGAAGCAATGCCGGGCTGGCGCCGGTTTGGCTTCTCCCCGCCTCGCCTGGGGCTGGGCCGCGCTCCCGTCCCTCGGCGGAGCTGCAGGCCCGGCACGGCCCCGCTCAGGGTCCATGGCGGGCGGGAGCCCCTGCGCCGCCCGGGCTGCCCCACCTCTGTGCGCTCGGTCGCACGCAGGCCCTTCCCTGTCCTGACAGTGAATCCCGACTACGATTCTGCTCGGTGGGTCGTCAACACCTCTGCCCGCCCTGCCCCGCACGTCCCCTCGCCCACAGCCACCGCCCGGCCCTGGGGAGCTCGGGGGGCAGCGAGGAGGAGACCCGGGGCCACGACGGCCCTCGGGCCGCAGAGCCCTTGGCAGAGACCCCTCCCGCAGCCGGGGAGGGGAGGGAAGGCAGGGGAGGAGGCGGGCAGGCGGGCGCGGGGGGGGG